GTCAGGGCTTCTGACTAAGCCAAGTAATATGATGAAACTAGATCCGCAGCTTCTACTGTTGGAGCAATAAACAGGCTTATGTTCCTACATAATGTCTTCTATGAAGCCGTGATGATTTCCAAATCATCACGGCTACATAGAAGACCAGTATGAGGTAGAATTAATGTTCCTTGTTTTTTATTCTTTGCCTACACGCTTGCAACCTTCTCGCAAACAACAGAAATTGTCAAAAGAGTGAAGCAAAACAACAGCCTATATTTGTCACACTTCTGAACAAACGCCTCTTCTGTACAGAGGGTATTGGGGCATAGGTTACCACACGACCACTGCAGATTGGCCGACTTCGCATATTTTCTAAATATTTTGTTTGTTATTATTTGGATAATATGCAGGTTTCCTCACGATGTTTTCCCTCACCGCTGTGCACGTGATAAGACAGCACTTAGAATTAACAATTTCATTGTTGATGGTATCGGGGATCGAACTCAGGTTGCTCGAGTATATTGAATTAAAAGCAAGCGCCCGTATAATAAGCTATGACGGCTTTCAAATTCACGGCAAATTGATGCGCTTTCTATCATAAAGTTGCCTTTCGTTTCAGTCATCAACCACGAATTTAATTAGACACTGCCTCAATTTGATTGACAACTGTGTGATGGTATTTTCTTTTCAAGAAACAGTTTTTAGTAAAACAGGTTAGAGAAATATTAATGTCATATATCATTGACATTATTTAGATTGGACAACTTCACCACCTTCTGATACGATCAATACATTACAACCTTGATATATATGTATACCTAGTTGGGACAACATAAATGGAAGCGCCAAGGGTATTGTGGAAGACATACTGTGGCATACCTAGCGAATGGATCTTTATGTCCACCATTTTAGGCCTGCAAAATTTGCAATTTTTTACTTAAAACTAGACAAAAAAATCGGCCAAGTGCGAGTCGGACTCGCGCACAAAGGGTTCCATCTATAAAAACGGCAAAAAATCATGTCTGTTGTATGGGAGCCCCACTTAAATATTTTTTTATTGTTTTTTAGAATTTGTTGTTAGATACAGACAGACAGACAGACAGACAGTGGAGTTTTAGTAATAGGGTCCCGTTTTACCTTTTGTTTACGGAACCCTAAAAACGAAATACAATTTATAGTCGACCTTTAAAACAATTTTAAAATAACGGTATGCATGCAAAACAGAAAAAAAAGGAAGTAAAATTTACGATTATTAGATTTTTTTCTCTTCTTGATCAAATGAAATTAAATCAAGAAAATGTTTTTGTTAGAATACTGCGTTTCCTCAGGGTTATGTTTATCCATATTGTCAGGATCTCATGTTAAGATCTATGCAAAAATATTCATATCTTTCACTTTACCGTGGTCTCTGAATCTTTTCTTAGATATTTTAATTCTAATGTATTTTGGAGGTGGTTTTAAAAATGACTTTTACAACATATTATAATACATGAAAGGCTGATGAAACCGCCCTAGGCACCACTACCATTAAGGCTCCCAGTCCACACATATATGTTAGTTTCCTTGGCAAGGGGTTCATTTTTGCACAGGGTATTTTGAATATAAAATAAGTAACACCGTTTACAAATATGTTCCAGAAGTATCGCCACGGCGCGTATGTCGAGTTATGCTTTCAAAGACAATGCTTGCATATATTATGATTGAACTAAATGGGAGGGCAGACATTGTTTCGATGGCAGCTGGCGCTAACCTAGCATTGTTACCTTTCGTCCAAATTAGGACCGAAGGTATCGTGTGATACGATCTAGGGAAGGACGAACAATTCTGTGTATTAAATGGTATACGTCCGCAAACGCTAATTAAAACACCACCAACCAAGCTGACGATTCAAACGTTCGGAAGAGGAAAGATTCTTCTCGGGATATTGGAGAAAGCCTCCCCAGCTCTGTTAGACTTTACTATTACTACTTTACTAACTTTTACTGTTGCTTTACTTACTTTACAGCTCTCTTACACATATACAGATATGATTGCGCTCATAAAATAATACTTATCCTAAAATCTAGAATTAGAGCTTCCGAAGACGAAGCACTACACAATAATAAATACGATGCTTTTAAATCAGAATAAAAAAAACTTTATTAACGAAACTTTCCACATATCTGTCATATATGTGAATTATTGGCAATCGAGTAGTTAAGTCATTACTGCCGCCCAAGGCAACAATTTCTATCTTCAACGTCAAGAAATGAAAATTATATTATTGTCTATAATTTTCATTTCTTGACGAGCTCCACTAATACCGTTTTTGTTTTTTATGTAAAAAGTTCTCAAGCAGGCAGGCCGTTCCTTGAAGGTATGCTATTAACACAGCTCATGGGCATCTACAACACCTTTTATAGATGCGCCAACTCGGTTGTAGACGCGTTACCAACCTTTAAACGGTTGTCCCGACTATCATTCTCACCACGAAAGCCGAAAGTATGATACTTCACGCCAGTCTTCTGTAATGTTTTACTCACCACGACAGGCCTACCCATTCCTGCAAAGGCACTACCACGGTACTCATCCCTGATGTAAACCTGGTATCATCCGCGTCAAATTAAGTATCCTAAGGTTCTCGCCATCGCCTGTTTCTTTTGCAACGAACTCTTCGCTATGAATTTAATTTTTTTATGTGAGAAGGCCGCAAGCGCGCTGGCCGTTCACCTGATGATAAGTGATAACCGCCGATAAATGCAGATGCGATGCCACCTTTTAATACCTGGCCCCGGCTACCTCACTCACCAGTCGAAACGCAGAGGTATAATTTCACTACGCTCCGGTATTCTGTGAGGACGTGGTACTCACCCGGGCGGACCTGCCCATTCGTGAGAGTCCGTTGCGTGGCCCTACCACCGTTGAAACAAACAAAACACGATCGTGTCGACTTTGAAGAAACGAATAATCCCAAGCCCTCAATATTCGAATAACTTGTAAATTGCTACAAGAGCCGCATTCATTTGCGCAAGGCTGCACGATCCGCGGCAAAATATGGCCGACGCGACCTCGGATGAAATTGTTAACTTTGACGGATTTTTTCGCGCTCGAATTCTCTTTGGTGATTCCCATGATGTCTCTTGCGCTTCGGTTCGATATTTCGTCCACAGGATATCATAATACATCGCGTCTGATTTCTTTTTTTTTTTTAAACACAAAACACGTTGACGTTGAACGATGATCGTATCGCATACACCTCAATATACCGGACAGTTCGAGGTGCTTATAAGCGGGGCAATTTAAATACGTTTCCACGTTAATTAAAGACGAGTTAGTTACACTAAACGGGACGAATGTTTTATTTAGACAAGACGTGTACACGACCTTGCTGAAACGGCTTTCTTCGCTGCCTCACTACGGACTTCGTATATTTTTTTAATCGTCGAAAACCAGCCATCATAATTTAATAAATATTTACCAAGTTACAGTACTATCAACAAGATATTCTAACAGAGTAACTTATCTATGTGCTAAAATATATTCTATACTATGATTTCACAAACTAAATCTTAAGTCACATGCACAAACCAAAATCTCTAAGCAGTTTTTTTTTTTAAATTTCAGTGTTCTGTATGGTCAGTGAACAGTCTGAATATATTAAACATTAATAACCTGAGAATGGCCTTTTCAAAAACAATCCAATAATTTTTTTTATTTCTAGTTTGTATTAACTTATTTTTTTACTATTTGAAGTACCTATTATGAATTTGTGAATGATGTATTAACAGCCACTAAATTAATTATTCAACATAGATTCATGAAATATTTTTATGCACTTAATAAATTTTAAAAATCAAATAGATTGTTTAAAATAGGGAAAGTTATTTATTGACCCAGAGTTACCTTTTTTTAAGCTATGAATAGCGCAGAAACTAATTTAAATATTGTATGTTAAGATGAATGGATTTTTTAATTAAACTTCTTCTATTTTAAAACATATTAGCTTATATATACATTCAAAAAAATAAAAAAGTTGTTCAAATAAGTCATAAACAATAAGATCGAAGCATTTAGTCATGATGATTTTTTTTTAAATAACATCAATCTTCTTTTTCTGCAAACTATTACTTTTCCTTCTTTTGATGAAAACAATAAAACATTTTAGTGTAATTGATTTACAAGACATAAATTTAAAGGCAACTTACTGGAAGATACTTGAAGGCAGAATTTTACTTTTTCATAAAATTGTGAATGTAAAAAAATCTCTAATTAAATTGATTAAAATGTTTAAAATCCTTGTTATAGGCTATTAAGTTAAGAAGGAAATGCTTAGATGGTACATTACTTACCAGTTTAAATTTCCTAGAAATGCACTTTGAATTTTTTTACTAAATATAACTTTATAATGGTTAATTCCCATGTAAAGTTGAAGACAAATTTAATGTAATAAATTTAATTTCTTTGAATAAATAACTTTTAGAATTTCCTTAATTATAGCCAAATTCATTAATATATTTTACCAGGAAAATATGTTTATTGATATTTATTTTTCTTTATAGTTTATTAAAATTATAAACTCCTAAAATAATTCATAATACTAAAATAATTAGGCACAAAATATTTTTAATGAACCCAGAAATAAAGTAGGAACAAGTGATATTTAGAAAAAATAATGATAAAAGCTGACAAATTTTTGTGAATAAGAGTAACTATAATATAGTTACTCTTATTCAGACCTTATTGAGACCATATGGATAACATTTGAAAAGTTTATCATTAATAAATATTACGAAGCGCTATCATAATTCAGTAACATAAACCTTGAATATTCTGTACCCATCTAAAAATAGATCATCCGTACACCTTTATGTTGCAAATATTTTTCTAATTATCTTACTTTAGCAGAAAAAGCAATCTATTTTTAAACATGAAGTCTTAAAACTTGCTTATAACAACTTAATTAAATATATACTATCAAGATAAAGTTATAAAAAATACTAAGTTACACAACATTAAAAAAATGTAAAACTCGCACTTACATGGGAAAATAGTTCTTCGGGAACAGCGATGCATTTATTAGTTTCTAAATAATTGTTCCAATCAAACTCCATTTTTAATAAATAAAAAAAATTAAAACGATTAACACTTCATTAAATTAAACAAATTGAATAAAAACATAAAAACCTAATATTTAACGAAAGGCTGAACTTGATTCTTCAAAATTTCAGTTCATTGAATGAAATTGAAATCACCCACTACTAGTTCCCTATCTCTCTTCTCGCCAGAGCGAGAGAATGAGAGAATAACAAATAATATCTATCTGTCTCGTAACCTTTCATATTAATGTATTGTTATTTCATTCTTATTAGCGTTCAAAAATATTTTTATCATAATAGAACTTAGATAGCATGAAAATAGTTTCGCTATAATATCCATTATTAATAAAAATATCATTTGTATTTCTATTTATAATTGTAACCATATACAGAACAACAATTTTGCTCTAAATACTGTATTTTCTTTGAATCAAAAAAGAAATGTATTTTAACATTTTATAAACATAACAAAGAAATGAAATAAATATGATTTTTAATTATTCTTATTTAGAATCAAATTATTTAAATAAATGTTTAGTTAGCTTTTGAATATTATTGCGTTAAACGAAATCAAAGTTGTTATTGTCATTCATTGAATGAGTGATTTATATTTTTGACTTATTCGATTATTTTCATTGGATAACAATTAACAGGTTATATTGAACATCGATATGTACAAGATCGATGAATGTTGCCTTTTATAATCTTAGAAATGTCCGAAATGTTAGCGATGTTACACTGAAAAATAAGTAAACGTAAATAAGTCTTTACAACTGCAAAACCCGATTCTTAATATAATTTTTATGTTCTTCATCGGTGCCGCAGAATTAAAGGGTATTTTCGGTTATATCTTTCATTTATTTATATTTACTTGTAAATTATTGGTCGTTAAAATTACTGTACATATGAGATAAATTAAAAAAAAATAACCATCCCAGGTAAATGAAGAACATTGAGAGTTGCTTAATTTCTGAATTTACATTTTAAGATGCTTGAATTGAAACTTATATAATTTTAAATTTAGCAATTAGTCTGTAGAGTTTGACAATAATCAGTGACATTTCAACTCTCGATGACTGAACATCAAATTAAAAACGAGATAATTATTTTTTAAGCCCACATCACTAGGGCCATGAGGGTGACATTTAAGTGAACTGAATGAATGAAACGAAACGTCATTAAATGCTAATCAGTTTCGTACATTTAGATTTGACTTTTATCATAGTTGGATAACAATATAATCAATTATTACAAAGTGCAAAAGAAATTGGTGTTGGAATATTACAATCTAACTGTTTAAAAAGTGTCAGTACGTTTATCCTCCTCAGTGAACTTTTAAACATGTGAAAGGTTTCTATTCTTGTCACATACGTTTAGTTGCGACATCAAGAATGAATACTGTAAATGGAATTATTTTTACATTTTCTTCGAACAGTTCAAATAATACGGATGATGAGGGTTGTATGCTTATGAATCCATCACAAAACGTTATCATAACAGGTGCTTACAACGGGATTCCTCAAACTTTAATTCTAAACGTGATATCATGGGCATGTCTCATTGCTTTGTTCACGGTCTTGCGACGCACAGCTTGGAATTACGGCCGGATGGCGCTAGTCCAGCGCTCGAGGAACCGTTGGACCAACTTATTTTATCGCGGCGTCGACGGTGATGCTTTGGTTGAAAGGCGGCGTAGTCACGACGAGTCTACAAACATCGATGAAGGCTTCTTCACATGGCTTCCAGCCGTCTTTCGTGTAACACGCGAGCAGGTTCTCGCGAAGTGTGGCCCAGACGCAGTACACTACTTATCTTTTCAGAGGCATGCAATAACACTAATGTTTATTGTCACAATTATCTCTATTGGAATCATATTGCCCATAAATTTTCAAGGCACGAATTTGCAAGTAGACGCGAACACGTTCAGTAGAACAACTTTATCAAATTTAAATGGAAGATCGTACTGGCTGTGGGCACACACATTGATTAGCATTTGCTTCTTACCTATTTCCGTGTTGATCATGAGAAGGTGCACCGGACGCAAACCTGTTCCAACATCTATGACCGGAACCATTATGATCACAAACATATCTAGGGCAGACAGGAATGAAGCAACCATTAGAGCCTATTTTACACACAACTTCCCGCATATTCAAATTGTTGATTTGCGGCTGGCATACAATATTAACAAGTTGAATGAGGTTCAAGAAAAAAAGGAAATGGTAACCGAAGCACTAGTCTATACTGATACATATTACAAGAAGACTGGAAAACGGATTACTGTTAAAGAGAAAGTGTGCGGTCCGGAAGTAGATGCTTTGGAGTTTTATTCTGCTGAGGAGAAACGTCTTAAGGATGAAGCCACGAGGTGTCGCGCCATGGTACTAAACGACCCACTAGGCATTGCCTTTCTCACACTGCCATCTTACCAACTGGCCGAGCATGTGATAAACCATTTTAATTTGCACCGCGGCTGGGTGCTCGCCCACGCGACCAACCCATCTGACATTGTTTGGGAGAACCTGAGCGTGCAACCCAGCGTGTGGTACGTAAAGGCCATAATTGTCAATTTCGCTCTATTTATAGTTCTCTTCTTTCTGACCACGCCCGCTATCATAGTGAACTTGTTCAACACGTTGGTCGTGAAGCCGGATTCTGTGAACAGGATAAGCAGTATAATATTCGAGTTTCTGCCAACGCTCCTCCTGTGGACGATGGCGGCAGTGATGCCGGCTATCGTCGCCTTCTCCGACAAGTTCCTCTCGCACTGGACGAAATCGCAGCAGAACTACTCGATAATGACGAAGACGGTCTCGTTCCTGCTGCTGATGACGCTCATCCTGCCGTCGCTGGGGCTGGCAAGCGCGGAGGCGTTCGTCGCGTGGACCCTGCACCACGAGAACGACACGATGCGCTGGGACTGCGTGTTCCTGCCGGACAAGGGGGCGTTCTTCGTCAACTACATCATCACGTCCGGCTTCATCGGCACCGCACTCGAGCTGATCCGGTTCCCCGAGCTGTTCCTCTACGTGTGGTACCTGCTGCAGTCCAAGTCGAAAGCGGAGAAGAGCTACGTGAAGAAGGCGATACTGTACGAGTTCCCGTTCGGCGTGCACTACGCGTGGAGTCTGGCGATCATATCGATAACGATCGTGTACAGCCTGGCGTGCCCCCTCATCTCGCCCTTCGGCCTCGTCTACCTACTTCTGAAGCATGTCGGCGACAAGCACAACCTGTACTTCGCTTACGGCCCTAGCGACATGAGTGGCGTGGGCGGCGGTAGGATCCACGCGGCCGCCGTGAGGATGATTAGGGTCTCTGTGCTGCTGCTACTAGTGAACATGGCGGCATGGGCGGGCCTGCGATCCGGCTTCGAGGCGCGCACGATCATACTGATAATGGCGTCCATCGTGGCCTTCGGGACGTTCCTCTTGCTCAGCCCGTTCCCCAGCTGCACGCCGCCGGCGCCGCTGCAGGTGGAGTCCAGCGTTCGATACCACGAGTACGTGGCGCCAGTGCTGCAGAAGCCCATCGACTCGACCCCCATATCGACCCCCTCGACCCCCGACTACGGAGCCTCCTCCCCCGTGACGAACCCCGCGTACAACCCGGAACCGATAAACATCTAAGGCCTCCGGAAGACGTCCTTGAACGCAACGAAATGCACACTCAGTCGAGAGGGTACGATTTCGGTCGGCGTTTCCGACACTGACCAATCGTGAGAGTATTATCGTGTCGCGACTTGTAAATAATAAAAAGATATTTTTATATTAAACCTTAGGGCCTTATCTGTAGATCGCAATTTACATACGGCACTAATTTATCACTTTCAAATTTTCGCAATGTCCTGTCATATCGATTTAACTTTTGATTATATTTATATAAAAAATGTAGTTTGTACATAAAATGTTTTATTTTATATTGTTTTCATGTTTTTGTATATTAAAATCAATCGTTAATTATTATTGTAATAAAATCGCATAGATTGCGAAACAGAATATATTAACATATATCGCTAACACAAGCTGTCTTAACAAGTGCTTAATTTCGAAGAAAATTATCCAATAGTTAAGCGATAAATAATGTATTCAAGATATTCTGTTAGTATTTTTTTTTTTGCGCCGTTGTTTAGTTTGGTTGTTATTTCAAAAGATTTTCTGTATGTCTGTTCGCTTTCGTACATAAAATGTGATAATATGATGTTAATTTTTTGTGATAAGACAAGATTAATGTAATTCCCTTGAAATACCTCATATCACTACATTTGGCGCAACAAATGAAGAAGATAGAGCACGTCGCCAATTTTTAGTGCAATAAAAAGGTTTTTTTTTTCAAATTTAGAAAGCGTTTCCGTTATTTGCTATATTCTTCTAAATTTATTTCTCTACTGCCTTTAGAACGAGAAAAGCTTGGCGTACTATTGCTTGGTTAGCTATTTCGCGCCATTTCAACACTTCCCTAGATTTGAAATACGTCTAGTTTACTTAAAAAATCTACCATTCCGAAAATAGTTTTATTTCCAATTTTTTCTCTTTTATTTTGATATAGTTTCATCACTATAAGTCTTATATTGGTGTAAAAGTAGTTAAATTATGCTCATATAATCGTTTAAGTCATTAAAAAAGTAATAATTAGACCAATCTAATTACTTCGCAATGCAACTTATCAATTAGTGGTCTCACATTTAGCATATTTCGGCGGAGCATTATTTTGTTTTTTCTTGTAGTATTAATACTTTTAATCACCTGTAAATTAAGTAAATAGTAATTTGCCCCAGTGAGCCATTATACTAAAATAAATTATTCAAACGAATTGTTATTTATGGTTTCATCGTTTAAAGACGATATTTTGAGATTTTAACATACGAACAGGATCAAAATATTTGTTGTTCAACTTGTCATCTCGTCTAATTTAAATTGAATTGTTTCAATGACGTGTGTCTTTTGCCTATCGATTGTGATAATTTTTAATTTTATACACTTAAGATTTGTTAATGCAATAAATTCTAATGAATTTCCCTTGTCTTATGTTGTATTTTAAACAGTTGTTTATGTTCGAATGTGGATGATGTGTCGTTGTTATCGCTGGCACGGTGTACATTCAATTAATCCTGCGATAATAATATCAAATATATGACGTACGAATACGTTTGTACTTTGGTTTTATTTTGCCATTGGTTTCTATTTACATTTTTGGATAAAAAGTTAGTAACAAATTGGATTGGAATACATGTCCTACATGGTACAGAAAGATATAGAGCATTTTGGGCAGATTCTGGGGTGATAATATCACCGGTAGAAAGGATCGGAACCTTTTCAGACAGCATTTAGGAAATTCTTGACCATGTTAATAGAGGTAATTCAATTAAGGGAAAGTAAATTAAATTGTATAGGTATTGTTCTTATGATTTTGTAAAATAAGAATGCAATGGTCTTGAGTAGTTTCGAGTCTGGTGTGAAATGTACCAACACATTTCGCGAACGCGATCGACTATTTTTGTAAACATCGCTCTCAATATTTTAAAGGTAAAATATGATAATATCTTTTGTTGATAATCAACACCTAAAGAGTTGTAGATTTGTGGACAACACATCTGAGGATTTTTACATTCGTGCAACAAAAGGAAGCTACTGCAAGGTCATGCCTAGCTTAAAACTTTTGCTATACATAATCAAATTAGATTCCAACGTTTAATCTCGTGATCATTGATGAGAGAAAAGATGGTGGTTTAAGTAGTAAAATTACATGTGTCTTTAATAATTTGATTAAATATTAAAAATGGGTATAAATGTCGCCTTACTAAAACCCAATTATTATAACTCAACTCGGGAACGCGCCGTAAACAAGTTATTTTAAGCGAGGTTAATCACCCACTTCAACCTGTGGTATAAAAAGTAAGTACAAAGGATAGCTTTAGAAATCGAAGTAACGGCGAGTTTGAGGAAACTGTTTACTCAATCATTTAGTAAGTTTTGCGCTACATTTGTGTTAGATATGCAAGTTCGTTAATCATTCTTAAAATTTATTTTACGTTACTTATGTAATTTTATTGTTCGTGGCATATTCAATGACATTGAGTGTTGTTGACCAACGAAAAAAACCTCGCCTTGGTTACGACTACTCCAAAGTTTTTCGCTATTCTATCGTATTTTCATAATATACATATTTTCATATTAAATTCTATTTTTTTCGTGTGTAACTTTCTGAACATAACTTTCTCGTGTAGTCGTAATGTCAGAAATATCTGTCTGTGTTACAAACAACAAAGAAAAGAACACAAAGGGTTCTGTACCATTATCTATAAAAATGGCAAAACAGTTATGTCATACATAATTTTTTTTTATTCTATTTTTTGGGATTTGATGTCATAGCGGCAACAAAAATACATCAACTGTGAAAACTTCAATTGTCTAACTATCACGGTTCATGAGATACAGCTTGATGACAGACGGACAGACAGATAGACAGCGGAGTCTTAGTAATAAGGTGCCGTTTTACCCTTTGGGTACGGAACCCTAAAAATGGGGAAAAGGACACCTACATTTTTTTAAAATTCTACATAGGTAATTTGATGAATACTGCAATTTTTTGTTCTGTTTGACAGAAACCAAATAACTTTCTACATAAACATAATTCTGTTACGTTGGATTCGAGAAAGAAGCCGCGATTCGATCCGCTGCTCGGCTTACGCGTAACACATCGTCGGCGACATGACGTCAGACGTGACGCAATACAATTTGGGTGGATAGTAGAATAGCCAGCATGAGTAAGAAAGTTACCTTTCACTGCCAGCCGTATTCATTGTTTAGTCGAACGAAAAAGACATTACCTGATAATGTACTATTACTAAGGCTATTGAAAAAGCTATAGAATAGAGAATATCGTAGTTTTTAACTACATTTACATTAATTTATACACCACACAGACAACAATAAAATTTATTGTGAACGTCTACATATTTTAATATTTAATTTTACCTTCTCTTCTTTATAGGTTCTGTTTCAAATAAATTGTATATGATTTATTACCAATATTTTTTTGGAAGATGTTATTTATTTTAAAAGAAATTATTTATTGTTCAACTAGCAGCTAGCTCCTAGCTCATTAATACCTTTTTAATGTATAACTGGGCAAAATATTTTTTGGCCTGTTGTTGTTGTTATTTTAGTTAAACAACAATTATGTAATAAGTTCATCAAATATGAGATTCCAACGTAGAGTTATTGTAATCCGTGTGTGCAAATAGTTTATTTAAGCCCACAACAAACTCGATGCGTAGCACCTATATCGGAAGGGTGATATTGCTGTTTTGACGGATTTGCACGGCCTGAATCATCATACGGCCTGCATTCAGCATAATAACTAATCTGACATACATTTAATTCATCTGAATGTAACACGAAACTCAAAACAATTATCTGCACCTCTCGGATCTGAGTCATATGTAAATTGAATGAGTATTCGTTAAAGGTCGAATGGCAGGCAGCGCGTGGGGCAGTGGGAAGTGAACGCTTAGGAACCAGCTCACACTACACAGTTTTCCATATTAGCGCCACTCTAGTAATAATCGAAACGAGGCATTGAAAGCGAGGCATGAATTTACCTTGACAGCAATTGGCGCTAGAGATGTCGAATGTGAAGAAATATATCGATATTAATAAAAAGTTCAATATTGGCCAATCAATATATATATATCGAAGATAAAATATCTTATCATAAATCAATCATTAGTATTTTCTCTTCAGGCGATAAAGGGGATCATATCGCCTGAAAATATCGACTATCGATATCTTTTCGACACCCCTAATTGGTTAAGTCGCTTTAACTATACGCTCGTCTATTGAGGCTTTTACGAGTTTTTGACATAAACAAATGTACGCCGGAAAGACGATGACTAATAGTCTATAGATAGAAATAACATACCTAAGTAAACGCATCATAAGGAGCGATTCCATTAATGCGAATTTCCGCCCGCAGCTTCGCTGGCGTTGAAGTCCTTAAATAGAACCCTTTACAACACTTTGTTCCAATTAAAAAATAGCCTATGTCCTTTCTCAGGCTCTAGCCTATCTGTGTACCAAATTTCATTTAAATCGGTTCAGTCGTTTTGGAGTAAAAACAAGACAAACAGACAGAGTAACTTTCGCATTTATAATAGTATGGATTTGCGAACTGAACTCAAAATATGTGTATTATATTAGAATCACTTTACGCCGGTCTTCTGTGATGTCGTGGTACTTACTCGGACGAGCCCGCCCATTCGTGCAACAGCTGAGGCTGCTGCGTGGCCCTACCACATCAACAACGAGAAATATCCTAAACGTTTACGGATCCATTAATACCGTTTTCCAAGGGGGCTTTGCCAAATTTTAAATGAATGGTTAACAGACACAACGCAAACTTATAGACATTTCTACTTTACGTCGGTCTTTTGAGACGGACGAGCCAGATCATTCGTGCAACAACAGAAGCTGTTTCGTGCTTCTACCAAATTACCAAGATTCGCAGAGACAGTCAAAGGAAAAGATTTACCAAACTAAACTCCTTCCGGTTACTTTTTTACGTTATCACTACTTTCTCCTGCATTTATCACATACACAATATTCACCAAGTGTGGTCGGCCCAA